ATCTCTCTCTCTCTCTCTCTCTCTCACACACACACGCACGAACGCACACACACACACACACACACACACACACACACACACACACACACACGCAACCTTTCCTATGCTCTGCTGCTGCTCCTCCATCCTCCTCCTCAACGAACGCCACGGTGACGGCATGGCACAGATGATGATGATGATGATTACGACGATGATGATGATGATGATGATGATGATGATGATGATTGCGATGATATGGCGATGATAATGATGATGATTACGATGATCATGATGATGATGATCATGATGATGAGTAGTAGTAGGAGGAGAAGGAGGAGAAGGAGGAGGAGGAGGAGGATATTGGCCACAGTATTCGAAGTTGCATACTCCATTCACATTGCCGTGGAATAAAATTTTCACCTATCAACTTCGGTGGGGTTTACCGAATTGTCTTTCTACAGATTAACCATCAGTTAACTGTGGAATCGACAATGATTAATTAATAAATTCGCCGCTTTTTTCTTTCCAATTACTGATGATTTACCATCAGTCAATTGTTGGATTGACAATACATTAATTAGTGATGATTCAATCAGATAACCAATCGGGAAATTGATTGGTTCATTTGTCGATTTATTGGCGGTTTGGATAGCAGGGGCAAGTCCCCACTAGCAAAGAGGATTGGATTAAGAGCCTGAATCTGGATGGACTTTATGCGAAGATGCAGAAAAGCAGACCAAAAAGATTTACCACACCTCTTCCACATACAAGTCCAGATTCAGGTGTTCAATCCCATCCTCCCTCCAGGGCAACTCAAATTACTTATATCTATATTATATATATTATATTTATATATATAAATATATTCTATATATTCAAACAGAACTGTCCCGTAAACCGCAGGCAAAATGTGTAAATAAATCCCTTTTTTTTTTCACGTAAGTTGTTCCTTGATTGGAAAAGGACCCTCCGTTCAGCACTTCCAGCAGACCTTGGTAAAGTCTTCTGTTTCTGGAAGGAAAAAAAAAAAAAAAAAAGGAAAGAACCCCCCTCTATTCACCACTTCCAGCAAAAATATAGTAAGTCATATTTCAGTTTTCTTATTTGTTTATAAGAAAAAGTTCTATTTTTCCGGACTAATTCCCACACCCAGCGCTTTTGCATTTTTTTTCTCAGTTTTTTTTGTTCACTCTTGCCATTTCTTTTGGAATTATTATTACGTTCGATTTTTATTAGATCGTGCTTTCCTCCCCCCTTTTACCTGGAACCCTCGAGCATCCCTCCCCCCCCCCCCCCCCTGCCCTTCTAACTATGCCTGTTTTCCTTTATTAGATCGTGCTTTCCTCCCCCCTTTTACCTAACGGGGTAGTCTTCTACCCCACCCAGTCATCCAGCCAGCCACCCTCTCTACCTATGCCTGCTTTCCTTTTCTGTCCCTTTCAAAAAAAAAAAAAAAAAAAAAAAACTCCTTCGGGACATCCGTTAAAATTGGTACGATACAGAGAAGATTAGCAAAATGGCCCCTGCCCACGGATAACACGCATAAATCGACAAATGGACCAAATTTAAAAAACAAAATTAAAAAGAAAAGCTGGTATGTCATCCTTCAGCAGATTTTAACAATTAATTGATTACATGGACATCAGGGACTGGTGGGGCAACTCAAGCCACTCGTTTTCTTTTTTTGCTCACAGTGCGACTTGCCGGGACGACCGGAATTGCAGCCCATACTAGATGTATCTGACTGCAATTATTGTATCCTACAGTTACGTTTTTTTTTGTTTTTTTTTTCTACCTTCTACGCATGCCTTTCATGATTTCCCGCATACGAAAAAAAAAAAAAAAAAAAGTCATGCAGTTGCATGGAGATGCGAGTATAAGATGAGAAAGGTCGAATTAAAAAAATAAAAATAAAAATAAAAAACGGAGAGGTCGAAGAGCGAAAAGGGTAGCGGGCAGAAGCACGAAAGAGAGAGAGATGCCATTTTATTTGTTTAAATGTTTTTCTTTTTTAAGAAATGATCAAACACTGATGTTACTTGGCCAATCATTGGAAAAAAAAAAAAAAAACGCGCGCAATGGAAAAGAGAAAAAGCGGGAATTTTTTTTCTTTCTTAAGGTTTCAAAGGCTACACAGTTGCCGGCGGCGCTCGCCGGGAAGATGTAGACGCCCAAATTCTTTTCTTTTCTTCTCTTTTTGCAAGGCCACTTCTTATGAATTAATATTGTCAGGGTAAAAAAAAAAAAATAAATAATTAAATAATTAAAACAAAATGTCGGGGTAAAAAGTAGCAGCCCCGTGCACAAACTGGAGAGTGGATAAACTACGACCCCGTGCACAGACTCCAAAGTGGACCACGTGTACAAAGTGGATAAACTATGGCCATGTGGGAGTTGACGAGAAGAGAATGTGGCCATTCTTCCTCTCCCTCCCACCCTCCGCTCCTTTCCCCCCTCCCCCGCTGGTAGAACTGCACACTCACTCAGAGCCCCTACCTTCTCTAGCTTCGCTTGAATGGCATAGTAATCCCACAACAGCACCGTTTTCTGCAGACGCGTCAAGTACACCAGTCCCGATTTATCTTCCAACGCACCAACCATTTCTCTCTCTCTCTCTCTCTCTCTCTCTCTCTCTCTCTCTCTCTCTCTCTCTCTCTCTCTCTCTCTCTCTCTCTCTCTCTCTCTCCCCCCCCGCCGGTCCGAGTAAGTATGTGTGTGTGGCTTTGTCCGGGTGTGTATGCGCGAGCCTCCCTGTATGGCACGGGAGAAGAGACGGTACTGGGGCGGGAAAGGGAGAGGCAGAGAGAGAGGGAGAGAGAGTGTAGCGCTGAGGAGGGATAGGAACAGAGAGGAGAATGGGAGACGAGAAATCCGGCGATGGTGGGCTATGTACTAGCACTTCCTGCAGAGCGCCGACGGGGGAACGCGCGGGGGCAGAAGCGAAGCAGACCCGCTTCTCGTCTCCTGCGTCGATTCAAAACGAAAAACCCGTTGGCGGCGGATACCGGTATAATAGAGCCAAAAACTCAAAGCCTTTCCCCAAAATACGCGACCGGGTTCAGTCGACAAAGTCCAATTGCCGACCCGCCGGACTTCGACCGGGTTCAGTCCGAAGGTCCAGTTTCGCAGATTTTATTTTAATTGTTTTTTTTGGGAAACAGTTTCGCAGATTCGACAGGTAATTGAATTGAATTGGTTTAAAAACAGACACAAATGTGCGAATTGAGGCTCCGGTCGACTGCCCGACCAGCCGAAGCGCTTCCGCCGGCGCTACGGCGTAAGCCCCCGGCAACCTGGGGCTAGGTCCCATTTACACGACTTAAGCGATATTGACCGTAGATAGCAAAGATCAACGGCCAGAATCTCTTAATCCGTGCAAGTGGGACCTTGCCCCTGGGCTTCTGAGTCGGTCGTTTTTCGCGCCGCCACTGTGACGTCGCGATGGCTGTTATGACCCTATCCCTATCCGCCATCCTCGTAGGGGCGACGTTGTTTACCTGTGCAGGTCAACATCGGCGATGGTGTCATAGTCACCAGTCGGCTAAGGTCCAATCATAGGAGCGAAATAGCTCGTGATTTGTTTTGCATGGTGACACACTAGTTTTGACCTAGGTCGTCTCTCTGGACCTTCTTCCCCACTGATCTAATTCTTTTCTAGTGACTCTGAGTGGAGAATTTAGCATGACGACAGTAGGAATGGAAGAGGGTGAACATCAACGAGCTCTCCTCCACCCGACCCGGGAGGTGGTAGGGAGGATGACGACCCGGGAGGTGATAGGGAGGATGCCGACCCGGGAGGTGATAGGGAGGATGACGAGAGGTTAAGGGAGCTGATGCGTCTATGTTACGAAGAAGGTATTATGCCACCTAGTATTGACCCTGGCGTAATGACCGTCAAAGGACGTGAAGTAAGATTTAGAGTCAGTGAGCGCATCGACAGAGTGAAGATTGCTTGGCTAAAGGAACACACTGTGACGGTAATCTTCCGAGAACGGGCGAGATTTCTACCCAAGAGAGGAAAGGATGATATCGTTCGCACGTATGAAGATGACAAGATCCATGGAAGCTTCAATGCAGAGAATTTTCGACGAGGGAGAGTAAAGGTGGAGAGTCCAAACGTGGTCTCTTATGTTGCGAAATCCAGGGCGAATGCGGCATGGATGGTTACTAAGGGACATGACGATATCACAATCGGTTCCGATACCCACAAACTAGAGTTCAAACCGTGGATGTTGAAGGCTCAACTTCGAGAACAACGACAAGAAGAGGATGAGCTCACGTTTTGGGTAGTAGCGGTCTAAGCGCCACTCGAGTTGTTTTTCTATCTAGAGGCACAAGTGGGGAGGACGATTGGCTCTATAATTCGAACTCATCCAACGGAACCAGATCGACTCAAGCCGTCACTCGTCAACATCAAGTTTGATATTGACTCAACATCTCGTCCTAATATGAACGATAAGATTTGGGTCGTCACTCCGGAAGGGGACAAACTTGAAGTAAAGCTGGCCTCCTTTGAAACCTCAAGATGCCGCCAGTGCCGAGCCTTCTTCCACACGGATATTGAATGTCAACGAGAGACGAGACAACAACAACAGAGCAATCAGCCAGAACGAAGAGGCGGTCAACAGGCGTCAACAACTCAAGGGTACCGTGGCCCAATGGGCCCTTTGGGATTGTCTCCCTCTTTTGCAGCACTTCACATGGAACCATCCAACGCTCACTTCGGAGGTCAACCGTACGTCACCTCTCAGCTCAACCCAACGTTCTCCCCACTCGATCAAGCTAGTCTCGGCGATCAAGTTGGAGGTCAGGGGGGAGGTCAACCATGGATGCAAACGTCTACTCTCCCTCAATACGGCATGCCAAGTCAGGCGGGACATGCGTTCACGCCCTGGATGGCGCACCAAGCTTTCCAGGAGGGGGGACACATTCCCCCTTCTTTTGGCACAGCCCAAACTCAACAACAAAGTACTACCGGCGAAGCCTCGAGAATAGGGGGATGTGGACCGATCACCCCCCCTCCTCCGCAGATGAGGGAGGGTAGGAGAGCAATGATAGGAGGTGCAGTTGGCGGGGCAGATGGAGTAGCGTCGGCTGGAATGGCCTCAGGAGGTGGCATCTCTGCTAACAATGAGACCGGAGCACGTCCAGGAAGGGATTCCACCATCCAACACAAAGATAGCACGTATCTACCAATACCACGCTCATATACCCCTCGACAGCAACGTCGGCTCGATATGGAAGGAAGTTTCGTTGCACGTGAATTGCACAAAGGAGGGAAAAACTCTGACTCCTCACTTCTGAGATCAAAGGACTCCACCAGAAAGGTAAAAGTAGTGGGCACACCAGAAACCTCCTTGTGGAAGAGGAGAGCACCTACCTCGTTGACAAAAGGTCAACTTCAATTGGTGGAGAACATAGTTTGCCACTGTTTTGCACCTACACCCGGAACTCGTTGTGGGTTCTTGCCTGGCACAGATGGCTTGATGCACATGGTAAGTATTGCTGGCCCCGAACAACTGATGCCCTCTGCTCTAGTCACTTTGATTAGGACCGCCGGAAACTCGTTGTGGGTTCTTGCCTGGCCAGCTGTAGATGGCTTGATGCAGATGGTAAGTATAGCTGGCCCCGAACAACTGATGCCCTCTGCTCTAGTCACTCAGGCTTTGACTAGGACCGCCTTCCACAATCACTTTTTTTCCGTATCATCCCTGTTATGTTGATGTCCAAGCTAATTGTTGATAGTCAGGAAGGGGCTGGGAAACGGATCAAATTCTTTGTACCGATCATGGATGCAAGATTTGTGGATGGGCAGTTGGAAAAATTGAAAGAAGAAGGTATTCGCCTTCTTCCACTGTCCTAGTTCGGGGAACCTCGCAAAAATGAACTACGGAGACTGAAAATGCCTCTACTGCAATCTGTTGAACGGCTAGCAGAAGTAGATGGCAAACTCTTGAAGGACAAGAAACTATTCTCCCCATACGTCGGAACAATGCTTACCTCATGTTGGTTTTCTGCCCAACTTCCCTCGAATTCTCAAGGCTCTCCCCACATCCAACCTGCTTCCGGGGTTTTGGTGGTAAATTGGCAAACTTAGAATAGGTTCATGGAATGTGAGAGGGTTGGGAGATTGAGCATGTCGCCACAAAAGAGATTGCGTGAAATCGTGGATGTATGACAATAATATTCAAATAGTGTGCCTCCAGGAAACGAAACTATCTAAGGAGAAAATTTCAGGTTTATCAAATTGGTATGACGACCCTCAATTATGGGTCCCTGCGATAGGTTCGAGGGGTTGTACCACGATTTTGGTCCATAGGAAAGCAGAACTATAATTGTCGATTTTTATTCTGACATCTGGGGACGGTGGTCTTGGGTGAAATATTTTGTTGAGGGCTCATATTGGATCGTTGCATCAATTTATGCTCCAACATAAGAGAAACCTCGTGCCAATTTTTTCCAAGACTTGTTATCAATCATCCCAGAAGTCGATAATCTTGTCCTCGTGGGCGATCAGAATACCTTGTTAGACGATGTCTCGAGTAGGAGAATTGGTGATAAATTATCCCTCACCTTGGTTATGAACGAATTAGAGGTAATCGATCCCTTCCGCTTATCGCACCCAGACTCTCCGGGCTACATATGATCCTCTCACTACCGTAAAAACACCACAATCACTAAACGTAGACTAGATTATTTATTAATCTCCTCTACGTTGTGGTATTCTATGGACAAGGTGTATGAATCAGTTGACTATGTCTCATATCATAAACCCATGATCATCTCGTTTCACACATCGAAAACCCAGTAAGTAAAATGATTGTTTCGATTTAATACCGAAAATCTGAAAGAACTGGGTTTTATAATCTGGATGAAACAAATTTGAAAAGATTGGGAGAAAGCACAAAGGAATTACCAGTCTACTGCAGAATAATGGAACTCTGACTCAAGAATCTTTCCTGCTAAACTTGATATCACAGCTGCTCGCATTTAAGCGTGACAGAAAACTGACAGAGATTTAGAAACAGATAGCATACACGAAGTCCAGGATGTGTGAACACCTTGTCTCAAAGAAGGTGTGCGGAAAATAAAGAAACCGACTGCTGACCGAATGAGATGAGTTGCAATGTAGACAGTCTGAAATTTGGGCGGATCGACAGCTACTTCCATCGGGAGGATGAGCAAATTGAATGAATCTACCGCTAGAACATGGAAATATACACTGTCACGCTTGTGTGTGTGTGTGTGTGGGGGGAGAGAGAGAGAGAGAGAGAGAGAGGAGAGAGAGAGAGAGAAGGTAAGTCTCCAACGTCACGGCTGGCCTCACGCTACTTCCATGGGTAGGATGAGCAAAATCGAATGAATCTACCATTAGAACATGGAAATATACATTGCCACGCTTGTGTGTGTGTGTGTGTGTGTGTG